GGTCAGAGTGACCCTGCTCAGTTCAGTCTCCAAGGGGGAGAGATGTGACGGAGCAGGGAGCAGGGCGGATTTGACCTGGGAATGGAGCCTGGGAGTTACATTGAGTTACCTGAGCTGTAACCTGAGCCAGGAGGTGGGTGGGGGAAGTGACACCTTCTGCCCGGGAGAGGGACAAAGGAGAGGAGGAGCAGAGGGGAGGGGGAGAGAGCTGCTGGAGGGATTTGGGAGTTTTTCAGTTTTGGGCTGGGAGGTGCAACACAGGGAACCCCAAGCTGGGGTCTAAGCTCCCTGCACTCCCCAAAAGGACTTGATTGAGGTGTCCTGGTTGTATCTACAAGCTCTGCTGTAGACTGTGTTCCTGTTGTCCAATAAACCTTCCGCTTTACTGGCTGGCTAAGAGTCATGGTGAATTCAGGAAGAGGGGTACAGGGCCCTGAGTCCCACACACTCCGCGACACTTTCAAATCTGTGGATGGGGAGAGGTTTTGTTTGTGCTCTGTTCGTTTGTTCCCTCTCTGGATGGAGAGAGAGACCAGGCAGGTAAAACATCTCCTGAAAACATACTTGAAATGATCCATCTAAAATTACAGAAATTGTAAGTAAGGGCAAGGAAATGCGTTAGATTATCTTTTGTTTTAGCTTGTGAATTTTCCCTAGGCTAAGAGGGAGGTTTATTCCTGTTTTTTGTAACTTTGAAGCTGAGCCTAGAGGGGAATCCTCTGTGTTTTACATCTTTTTATTACACTGTAAAGTTACCTTCGATCCTGATTTTTCAGGTGTGATTATTTTACTTTTTCTTTATAATAAAGTTCTTCTTTTAAAAACCTGATTGATTTTAGTGTCCTAAGGATAAAGGGTCTGGTTTGTACTTACATTAAAGGCAATTGGTTGGTATATTATTCTCAAGCCTCCCCAGGAAAGGAGGTGAAAGGGCTTGGGGGAATATTTTGGGGAAATAGGAACTCCAAGTGACCCTTTTCCTGAATTTTTGTCTAACTCACTTGGTGGTGGCAGCAATACCGTCCAAGGACAAGGAAAGATTTGTGCCTTGGGGAAGTTTTAACCTAAGCTGCTAGAAATAAGCTTAGGGGGTCTTTCATGCGGGTCCCCACATCTGTACGCCAGAGTTCAAAGTGGGGAGGGAACCCTGACAGTAATAAACTGTTGAATATTGACTCCTTACAGGGCCAATGAACCTTAATATCCCTCTGATTGTTCCAGGAGAGGGCTGGACATTTTAGAACACACGTTTTGGGGAAAACTCGGGCTGGCAAGGGCGTGGAGTCACCTCAGTTGTTAACCCCGGCTGGTGGAAGCCAGTGGGAATCTGGTATTGCAGCAGGCTCTGGGATCCAAAGCCTAGGACCAGGGCTGCCCGGTAGGCAGAGTGACGCCTGGTGTAGGCTGTGGGCATCCCAGGCAGAGCCACAGTGGCACAGCACTGAGAGGCACTCGGGGTCACAGGGTAATAGGTGCCACAGCCCCTCACTGGTCTGGGCTGCACCCCAGAATGTGACCACTCCCCATTACACCTCATCCCAGCTCAGAGAGGGACCGAGGGACCCGCCGCCGAATTGCTGCCGAAGAGCAGGACGTGCCGCCCCTTTCCGTTGGCCGCTCCAGGCACCTGTTTGCTGCGCTGGTGCCTGGAGCCAGCCCTGACCGTGGCTCCCAGGATGCGGCCACCAGGTCCCTGCAGCACCAAGCGGTGATGCATGTGTGGCCAGGGAGGCGCCGCATGCTGCCCTGGTGCCTGCAGGCACCGCCCCTGCAGCTCCCATTGGTCGCAGTTCCCAGCCAATGGCAGCTGTGGAGCTGGCACTAGGGGCGGGGGCAGCACATGGAGCCTCCCTGGCCGTCCATGTGCCTAGGGGCCGCAAGGACCTGGCAGCCGCTTTGGGGACCGGCGTGGAGCTAGGGCAGGCAGGGAGCCAGCCTGAGCCCCGGGTCCCTGTGGCGCTGCAGACTGGACTTTTACCGGCCTGGTCAGCAGTACCAACTGGAGCTGCCAGGGTCCCTTTTCCACTGGGCGTTCCAGTCAAAAACCGGACTCCTGGCAACCCTGCCGATGCTGGAGCCGAGGGCCCCACGGGGAGTGGGAGGGGGCAGCCCGAGCTCTACCACTGAGAGGCCACTGAGCACAGGATCTGCTGGGCCAGGGACCAAGGGGTCTGCCCCCCTGTGACGTTATGAGTGTAATATAATATTTCATTGGAAGGTGACAGGGCCAGAAAGAGTTAATTAACTCAGACTGACCTGACCCATGGGTGAACCTTAAGGACTGGTTAAGAAGATCTGTAAATGAATAGAGCTTTGAAATATAAATCTGCATTGTTAGAGATCTCAAGGGTAGATGTTTGCTCAAGTCTTGTGATGTCAGCAAACAAGTCTTGTCTATTGCTATAACTTTAATTCAAAGATCAAAAAAGGAGTATTAATATTTAGGAAGACACTTGAGTGAAATAGTATTATTGTCTCTATGTCTCTTTGAAGGTTGCGGTACCTGTATCTGAACTGTTGAATGGATAAATTACCCTGTGCTAATTGCCAGGATGTTTGGAAGGCGCATTAAGTCTATTGTTTTCTCAGGCCGAAAGGCTGCTGGAAATGTATAAGAACCCTGGGACATGATCCTACTTCATCTCAGATCTGCTTTGGTTTTCAAGAGGGGGAAACCTTAAGCCATAAGGATTGAGATCTCCAGTCACTGACTGGAGCCACCCTGAATATGGACATTGGACTATAATCTCTGGACTATTTCTAAAAGGAATTTTGGCAACTACAAGCTCATCTCTGCTATGTATCTGAACCTCAAGAATTGAATTCAAGTCTGTCTGTATATTGATCTTTTAACCAACACTCTCTCTCTTTTCTTTTTTAATACATTTTAGCTTAGTTAATAAGAATTGGCTATAGCGTGTATTTTGGGTAAGATCTAAGTTATAATTGAACCTGGGTATGTGGCTGATCCTTTGGGGTCAGGAGAACTTTTTCTTTTATATGATGAGATAAGATTTTCAGTAATCATCATCATATCTGACAGGTGTCTGGACGGAGGCCTGAGGCTGGGTACTTTAAGGGAACTGCGTGGTTTGGACTCTGAGTAACCAGTGAGGTAATACAGAGGCTGTTTTGTGCTGGTTGGTAAATCTAAGTATTGGAATAACCACCAGCGTTTGGGGTTTGTCTGCTCCGTTTTATTTGCAGTTCACCCTTATTGAATGACCTCAGTTGGCTCCTACAGGCAGCACCGTCACACCCCACCTCCACGCAGGTGTCTCTGGCCGTCCCGCTGAGGCCCAGGGTTCCTCCCATGGGGCAGTTGGGGGCTGCAGAGCGAGGGGGGGGTGCAGGGGTCCCTGGCACAGGGTGCGCCTGGGCTGAGGCGTGAGATGGGGGAGCCGGCTCCCAGTCCCTCTCTGCCAGCCGGCCAGGGGATACCTGGGGGAGTGGCTGGCTGGCGGCCAGGAGCAGTGAGGTGCAGGGTGTCATGGACCCCCAGCACTCGTACTCTCTCCTGGCTCCATATGGTCCCTCAGGGGAACCCCCTTCAGTGTGACAGCCCTTTTCCCAGGGGTCCGCTCGCTCTCGAGGGTTAGGCGCCTCCACGTCCTGGAGCCGCACCTCTCTGAGCCTTAGCACATCTGTCTCTGCCGTGGGCCCCCTCAGCGAGTCCCCTCGCTCCGGGCTCCCGGGGCCTCCACCCCGAGGGAATAATGCCCCCCCCCCCCATTCTCTAGCCCGGAGCGACTCTCAGGGGTTATTGAATGTCTGAACCCAGCACAGGAAACTCTCCAGGCCTCAGGCCTGGCCTCCCCCAGCCCAGCACACCTAGGTCTGTCCAGCTCCGGCGCTTTCCCCTCCCATTCTCCAGGCCGGTCGCTGACCCTCGGTAGCAACAACTCCCTCTCCCATCACCTCGTTAAACCAGTAACACCGAGGGAAACTGAGTCGCACCCCACTGCCTGCAAACCAGGGAAAACAAGAAGAACCCCCCCGGCTTTGTCACCCGGCCCCAGGCTGCTCCTGCCGCCGGGGCTGGTGGGGCAGGGATGGGGGGCACCGGGCGGGCAGGCTCCCCAGCAGAGCCACGCCCGGGGCCCCCTGACTCCCCCGCCCTGCCTGTGACCCGGGGGCGGGGCTGCCTGGCTCCTCGGGGGCGGGGCCTGCGCCCAAGGCCCCGCCCAGCTCGTGCCCCGGGCCAGGGGGCGGGGGTCTCCCCTCCGGCCGCCAGGGGGCGCGATGGCTGGAGCCTGCCGGCCCCGGCCGGCGCCGCTCTAGCCGCCCCCGCCGCTCTATGGTCCCCGCCGGGCGCTGATTGGTGGAGGCGGGGGGGCGGGGCTCTGCGGTCCCGTGGGGCGGCGCGGCGCATGGAGTTCCCGGGGTCCCTGTTCCCCGCCTTCTGCAGCGCCGGGCCCCCCCGCGACCCCCCCGGCCCCGGCCCCGCCCCGCTCGCGGGCTGGGGGGGCTACGGGCACGTGCAGGGGCCCGGCCCGAGCCAGGTGCGTCCCCCCGCCCCCCAGCAGCCCCGGAGCCCGGCCCGAGC